CATTTATGTACCACCATTGAAGCACCATCCTTGATGCACTACCCTTGATGTACCACCTTTTAGGCACGACCCTGGATCCACCTCCTTTGAAACACCGCCCTTGAGGCACCATCTTTGAGGCACCACCATTGAAGCTCCACCATTGAAGCACCATCCTTGATGCATCACCCTTGATGCACCACCTTTGATGCACCACCATTGATGTACCACCTTTGAGGCACCACCATTGATGCACCACCCTTGAGGCACTACAATTAAAGCACCACTCTTGAGGCACCACCCTTGAGGCACCGCAATTAAAGCACTACCCTTGATGCAAAACCTTTGATGCACCGACTTTGATGCACCACCATTGAAGCACCATCCTTGATGCACCACCCTTGATGTACCACCTTTTAGGCACGACCCTGGATCCACCTCCTTTGAAACACCGCCCTTGAGGCACCACCTTTGAGGCACCACCATTGAAGCACCACCATTGAAGCACCATCAATGATGCACAACCATTGAAGCACCACCCTTGATGCACCGCCCTTGAGGCACCACCTTAAAGACACTACCATTGAAGCACCACCCTTGATGCACCGCCCTTGAGGCACCACCTTTGAAGCACCACCATTGAAGCACCACCATTGAAGCACCACCCTTGATGCACCACCCTTGAAGCACCGCCCTTGAGGCACCGCCCTTGAGGTACCCCCATTAAAGCACCACCATTGAAGCACCACCATGGAAGCACGACCCTTGAGGCACCACCTTTGAGGCACCACCATTGAAGAACCACCATTGAAGCACCACCCTTGATGCACCACCCTTGAAGCAACGCCCTTGAGGCGCCACCTTTGAAGCAGCACCAATGAAGCACCATCCTTGATGCACCACCATTGATGCACCATCTTTAAGGCACCACAATTGATGCACCACCTTTGATGCACCACCCTTAATGCACCACCATTGATGTACCACCATTGAAGCACCATCCTCAATGCACCACTCTTGATGCACCACCCTTGAGGCACCGCAATTAAAGCACCACCCTTGATGCACCAACCTTGATGCACCGACTTTGATGCACCACCATTGATGCACCACCTTTCAGGCACCACCCTTGATGTACCACCTTTTAGGCACGATCCTGGATCAACCTCCTTTGAAACACCGCCCTTGAGGCACCACCTTTGAAGCACCAAACTTGATGCACCACCATTGAAGCACCACCCTTGAGTCACCACCTTTTAGACAACACCATTGAAGCACCACCATTGAAGCACCACCCTTGATGCACCATCCTTGAAGCACCACCCTTGATGCACCGCCCTTGAGGCACCACCTTTGAAGCACCACCTTTGAAGCACCACCATTGAAGCACCACACTTGATGCACCACCCTTGAAGCACCGCCATTAAGGCACCGCCTTTGAGGTACCCCCATTAAAGCACCACCATTGAAGCACCACCATTGAAGCACCACCCTTGAGGCACCACCTTTGGGGCACCACCATTGAAGCACCACCGTTGAAGCACCACCCTTGATGCACCACCCTTGAAGCACCGCCCTTGAGGCACCACCTTTGAAGCAGCACAAATGAAGCACCATCCTTGATGCACCACCATTGATGCACCATCTTTGAGGCACCACCATTGATGCACCACCTTTGATGCACCACCCTTAATGCACCACCATTGATGTACCACCATTGAAGAACCACCATTGAAGCACCACCCTTGATGCACCATCCATGAAGCATCGCCCTTGAGGCGCCACCTTTGAAGCAGCACCAATGAAGCACCATCCTTGATGCACCACCATTGATGCACCATCTTTAAGGCACCACAATTGATGCACCACCTTTGATGCACCACCCTTAATGCACCACCATTGATGTACCACCATTGAAGCACCATCCTCAATGCACCACTCTTGATGCACCACCCTTGAGGCACCGCAATTAAAGCACCACCCTTGATGCACCAACCTTGATGCACCGACTTTGATGCACCACCAATGATGCACCACCTTTCAGGCACCACCCTTGATGTACCACCTTTTAGGCACGACCCTGGATCCACCTCCTTTGAAACACCGCCCTTGAGGCACCACCTTTGAGGCACCACCATTGAAGCACCACCATTGAAGCACCATCCTTGATGCACCACCCTTGATGCACCACCTTTGATGCACCACCATTGACGCACCACCTTTGAGACACCACCATTGATGCACCACCCTTGAGGCACCACAATTAAAGCATCACCCTTGATGCACCACCCTTGATGCACCATCATTGATGCACCACCTTTGAGGCACCACCATTGATGCACCACCCTTGAGACGCCACAAATAAAGCACCACCCTTCATGCACCACCCTTGAGGCGACCATTGAAGCACCACCCTTGATTCACCACCCTTGAGGCACCACCCTTCATGCACCACCCTTGAGGCGACCATTTAAGCACCATCCTTGATGCACCACCTTTGATGCACCACCCTTGATGCACCACCCTTGATGCACCGCCCTTGAGGCACCACCCTTGATGGACCACCCTTGAAGCACCACCCTTGAGGCACCACCATTGAAGCACCACCCTTGATGCACCATCCTTGATGCACCACCCTTGATGCACCACCCTTGATGCACCATCCTTGATGGACCACCCTTGATGCACCACCCATGAAGCACCACCCTTGAAGCACCACCTTTGAAGCACCACCCTTGATGCACCATCATTGATGCACCACCCTTGATGGACCACCCTTGATGCACCACCCTTGAAGCACCACCCTTGAAGCACCACCCTTGAGGCGACCATCGAAGCACCACCCTTGATGCACCATCTTTGATGCACCACCCTTGATGCACCACCCTTGATGCACCACCCTTGATGGACCACCCTTGATGCACCACCCATGAAGCACCACCCTTGAAGCACCACCCTTGATTGACCACCCTTGAGGCACCACCCTTGAAGCACCACCCTTGATGCACCATCCTTGATGCACCACCTCTGGGGCACCACCCTTGATGCACCACCCAAGACCAAAGTGAAATACACTACCATCACGGCTGTTCTACAAGACGTTCTGTCACTCTGTATGCAAAACGTACTTGTTTTAGGCCAAATTGCCTTTGAACCATCAGCAAAGACTATAAATGGTGTCAATGGTTCAGAGATATACACACTACCTCCACAACTGTTCTAGCGTAGCGGTTGCCCTTCTTCCTCTCACGTAACGTGAGCATCTGTTCGTCTTTAAGGCAAACTCGCCTTTTAGCCTACAGCCAACATTCCAACTGGTTTCTTGGTGCCGAGATGAATACACTACTTTCAAATCTCTTCTGTGGGTCGCCGTTTTTACTAGAATGCAACGTGAGCATCAGTTCCTGTCTGTGACACGGGTCACATTTGGGTTGTAGTACACCTATAGGTGGGGCGATATCGAGGGTCATACGAGGATATTTTCAGTGTAGTTCTGTATAAAGGCTGTTGTTTCACATGAGGTAAGTGGCCTGGGGTGTCGTGTTGACAGATAGCATAGTTCATAGTGGGGAATATCTTCAGTTGTTGGATACCGTGGGCCACGAACATTTGCCTCGCCACAAGTATGTGTGTAAGATGTGACACGAGTGGACATTTTGCTTGGGACAGTAAAATCGGAGGGAAGAGAGGCGAGTGAAAGGTCTGAGAAAGGTCAAGGGAAAAAATTGAAAGAATAATACTTAACCCATTACAAGGATAGATAGGTATGATGTTATTAAATCATTGGTTTAATCATCATGCAGGTAATTTTTCTGCCACAAATCCTGACGTTGAGATAGCATGTATGTAGAGATTGCGATAAGGCATCGAGGCAAGTAGTAGGAATCCCCTCCTTGATGATAATTATTTTTGTATGTGTACTAGTGAAAACATCTCTCGGATTGGCAAAATCAAAACATGATAATTTTTGCTATGAAGTTAACCCCCTTGGTAACTTCATCTTCTGGTATGCTTTGCAAAGCTATCGTTCTACACCGAACGTCACCGTTATGACGCCATATCGCTCATTGTGACGCAAAAGATATGACGTTACAGTCGTATATAGAAAAGTGCAAAATTCCAAGCCCTCTGTTGTCCCCAAAACTTAAAATACACTGTCATTGTTGATTTCTATCATGCACGAAATGTATTGCCACACATCCTTTGAATTTTGCAGTAACCGTAACTTTTCATTTTGTAACCTACATGGGTAGATATAATTATTGAAATACGCCTACCGACAATGATTAAAAATGTTGTATTCTATGAATATTAGCTTCCGCGGTGGTGCGGCCGTCAAATCAGCTGTTTAAATCAGAGGGGATTTATTGTGATTTAATAGCCTCTGACTGACCAATCAGAATCGAGTTATTCCCAAATGCATGGTTGGATACGAAGGCTGTAGTATGGAGGTTGCTTGGCCCACCACTTTTCGATTCTGTTGCTTGTAGTCTCTCCTGTAACATATGAATTGTTGCTTTCGATACTATAGAGACGTCTAGCAATGACGTCTTATCTCACGGTGAGCATACATAAACAACCATCACTGTTGTTTTACGTTGGGTGCAGTCTATTCTGGAACTGAAATTTTGAAAAACGGATTTTCTCAAGAAGATTCAAAGGTCAAACCTACTAAAAGTTTTTTATACATGTGTTGTCCACATGATGCTGTGATCGTGGGCCTGAATGGCGGGCAAATATAAGTGCTGTGTGGGGTTGTTTTCACTCGACCTGAGTTTATGTATCTATTTGGCTATTTTGATTGTGTAGTTTACAGTGGCTGCATGGTGGTTACAAGTGTGTTCAATCACTATTCCGGCAACACGTGCAATACAACTGTTCTGAGCTGAAATATTCTCAGGTGTTTATCAACGAAATACATTTCACATGCTTTCGCACACAGTGAAGCGTATGTAAATTATGTTATGATTGAGTATTTTAGAGAATCCAGTATCATTTCCGAATAATCTATCGTCTTGCAGGTGAACCCCCTGAGTGTTACGAAACAAGAGTCAACGCCTTCTTGACTGCTCTCCAAAACTTCTCCGATGCAGTACAGACTGTCAAGGCCGACGCTCCACAAGAGTGTCCGGATCGTAGGTCTTTTACAATCACCAACAAGTATTTTCTTTATTGCAATATCATTATATATCCAGAAACGATAGATTCACTGACCTACTGCTGATGTGGCTTGAACCTTGCTCTACAGACATCTAAGATAAGGGGGCAGATTGAGCGGGTTTCAATCAGACCATTAAAACGCTACTTGAGAAATTTGTCATTCATCTAAACCAAGTTAACAATAACTGATTACTGTTATTACAAAGAGGCAGTGTTACACAGCGACAGTTCTAGTGCAGAAAACTTGTGCAGCTATAAGTAAAAGGGTGACACGTGTTTTAAATTTGGATAGTTAAACTTTCCATCACATGCCCATTGCAATTCAAGTTCATGTTCATGACGTAACAATCATGACATTACAAAGTATATAGAAATATGTAATCTTTAACATGTAGTGTTTTGGGGTATCTTTTCTGGACGTTGTGCATTGTGCGTGAGCTGATTGCCTTACACGACTAGAAAAGATACCAGGATACCCGGAATCTGTGTAACATAGTCAAAATGCATGTAGACATATCAGCAAATAAATATCAACTCATGAGATAATGTGGCTGACTCGGGTATGGTCTTACAGTCGTTACTTAAATCAAGTTTCAAAATGGTATGCCAGCGCAAACAAAACCATGTCTTGTTGACTTTAAGTTGCTGCTATATACTTGAAGGTACCGGTGCGGTGTTTGTGGCGTCGTGTGATGGAACTGATGTTGTCGTCGTGGATCCTAATGGCTTCATCCAAAATGGCATCACTACAACTGAAAATGTAGAAGGATGGACATTGTCTGGCCCCCCCAACGCGATGTCTGACTATGCATTATCTTACTACACAAACGCTAGTGTTGTTTCAGTCGTATGTAAAGCCATGCCATCCGGAGTGGATACACCCCTAGGAGGAGAGGATAGTACGTTTGTTAGCATTATGCATTTTTGTTCAAAATAACTTATCAATTTGTATGTTGAGAAAATACCCATGTTTGGACACGCAATGAATCCCTGTCCAAATTACTAATGTTGTGAGTGGAGAGTTTGGGAGGACAATCATGACGGGTGCTGAGTTACAATGACTTAGGATAAGAATTGCTGAGTTGTGCCCTTTTTGTCTTTGTACATGTAGACATCGCCCTCGTGTTTTGACGTCAAAGCGGAAAATTTGTTTTCACCACATAAAACAAGTACGTTTTCGTGACGAATGTGTCACGTTATAAATAATCGTACAATTCTAATATATCTGTCATGATGTTGTTCGGATATATGACAGTATTTTGTTCATTCACAGTTTACATAAAGCTGTCAAATAAACTGTACTTTATCTATGTACGATCTAATAAGGCTGCATATTTTAGAGGCTTTTTCGTTAGCAAAACAACTTGGACAACATTTAACACTTTTTGCTTTTCAAACCAGTCTTTAATTGTCTATCAAGGGGGTAAAAATTCAATAATATACAAGTCCGTTAAATTGCAAAGTCAGAGGTTGGTCCAGTACCGCGCGACCGCAATTCTCGCGCAGCGTTGATTTTTCGAAACTATATGCATCTGAACATTAACTCGGCAACCAGGATTCCAGCAATAATGTAGTTAATCACAAGCTTTTTGTCAGATATCTCGCGAGACCCGTGTTGTATGCAACTCGCCGCCGTGTGAAAGCCGACTTGTATACAATTTCAGTTCGTGCAACTAATTGCATACAACAAGTTGTATACAACTACCCCTTTAGGAGATAAAATAACTGTAATATCGTATCACATTATACACTTCTGTTTCTGACAGGTAATTGGAAAGATACTGCTTTGATCCTGCCATATTCTTATAACTACCCTATTACACTTTTACATGTGATCTATACAAGTGTGAGTGAGTGGGTGGGTGAGTAGGATTTAACGCCACTTTTAACAGTATTCCAGTTATATCACGGTGTGTCAGCTTAATTTGGGAGGAAAGCCCGAAGTGATGCAGGTCTCACGTTTACCACTTCGGTGAAACCCACGAGCACCGGAATGGTGCTGGCAAACCTAAAAACATAATCGGGGCGTACCGGATTCGAACCCACAATCATAGGTTTCTGGCGTGCCCAAGGGACGCAGCTCTACACAGCGAATCACGGCGCCTTAGACGACTGGGCCACCCATGCCCCCTCCTATACAAGCAAACGTTCCATTGTTTGACACCTTTATTGACACTTTTATTCTTTATCAGCCCAAGCCTTAATTTGTCATTGATTTGTTGTCAGGGACAGTACTAAGCATAACTGGCATTGCCTTCAATCCTGCCAACGGAGGCTTCGTTTATGTAGCCATTACCACGAATTTTGCTCCGAATGGTATCTATACCTTCTCGAGAGGAGTCATCGCCGCCGAACTTCTCTTCTCCTATGATGGCGACACTGGCAACATTAATATTTGTGGCGAGTATGTACACAGACTTACTTCAAGGGCTGACAAGGACGTGTTGTGCATGATTGCTTTGGTTTTGTTTGTTTGTTGTACACGCTGCACTCATATTCCAGCTGTATGAAGGCGGTCAGAAAATAGTGGAGTCTGGACCAGACAATCCAGTGATTGACATCATGAGCATCGATCCACGCAATTAGGATACGATGATATGCATCAACCTAGTCAGCGAGTCTGACCGCCAGATCCCGTTAGTCGCCACTAACGACAGGCATTGTCACCAGAATCATGATATCACATTGCACAGGTCATTAAAAGAAGACAGATTGTATGTTTGTTTGTTTGTTGTTTAACACCGCACTCAGCAATATTCCAGCTATATAACGGCGGTCTGTAATTAATCGAGTCATGAGCATCGATCCACGCAAATGGGATCGATGACGTAAGGAAGAGCTGATAGGGAGTTGTCGGGTTTTTTTTATATTTACATTTATGTTGTGAGAATAGTTTATGGCTCTGTGTTCTTATTGCGTATTTAATTTTTAACACCCTTATGTAATGCGACTGGTAGAGAATGGGCCAGGTTAACGACTGAACAATATCTGATACAATATTGCTGCAGCTACGTGTACATGAGTGACGACCAGAAGATCATCAGAAGACCGCTCGGCAGCACAGGCGACTGGGAGCAAGTCTTGAAGTATTCACTGCCTCCTCTGGAGTTCGTGGTTCTCGAAGATGGTAGGTGCAATACAATTAATCAAATTATAATTCTGGGTTGGCATGTGAATACATTTTTTCCTTTGCGTATGTCCACATGGAGACCATTTCGTGTGGACAACATGGGTGCCCGTGTTACAGGGATATGCAATTTTACATAGGTCTGTGAAATTACACGGACATGTAAATAATGCATGGTCACAGGAGTCAGAGCGACACGCCCGACAAGGAGGGTGGTGTAACCAGCATATTACTGCTCAAACTTGACCCTAGTAACCCATACATGGTCACAGGAGACAGAGTGACACGCCCGACAAGGAGGGTGGTGTAACCAGCATATTACTGCTCAAACTTGACCCTAGTAACCCATACATGGTCACAGGAGACAGAGTGACACGCCCGACAAGGAGGGTGGTGTAACCAGCATATTGCTGCTGAAACTTGACCCTGGAAACCCATACATGGTCACAGGAGGCAGAGCGACACGTCCGACAAGGAGGTAGGTGTAACCAGCATATAACTGCTCATACTTGGCCCTGGTAACCCATTCATGGTCACAGGAGACAGAGCGACACGCCCGACAACGTCGATTGGACGGTGGCTAGTGATGAGCCTTGCCCTGCTGTAGATAGCGTCTCCAAAGAGTTGAAGTTGTGTTTTAATAAACATTAAATGTCTGGCATCTCTGTTTTGCGCCATTCCTGCTTACAACATTCCCACTGTGCGTAGACGTTGAGCACTGCGTAATCATATTAACGGTTGTAAAGCCACAGTCATGAGTATAATTCTGCCATCAAACACGCAAACATCCAAATTAACAGCGTGAACATGGACGTACATTTTGTAAGTCAGGACATTAAAGTTGATGGGATGTCTTCATGAATATGATTTGAAAGATGCATGTTTCGAATTCAGAATAAATGTATTTTTTATTATTTACGTTTTATGTACTTTTTATTAGGCATAGATACTTTTTTTCCGGTATTATATATGTATCTGATACAAGTAGAAAAGCGTTTTGCTGTGAATCATTACCTAAAAGATCATACATTTAATCTACATTTCTCTGATACAAATCGGCGAGGAATACTGACTGCTTGAGTTCTACTATTTCATGACAATGCCTCTTCTCACACTTGGGTGCACGGATGGCCCAGTCGTCTAAGGTGACGCTATTTGCTGTGCAGAGTTGCGTCCTTTGGGCATGCCAGAAACCAATGATCGTGGGTTCGAATCCCGGTTCACCCCGATTATGTTTCAATTGATGATGCTTGTCAGCACCATACCCGTGCTCGTTGGTTTTACCAAAGTGGTAAACGTCTAAGACCTACATCACTTTGGGTTTTCTCCTAACATCAAGTCGACACGTCGTGATATGCCTGGAATACTGTTTAAAGCGGTGTTAAACCCATTTCACTCACTCACTTTCTTATACAGGAAGAATTGTGTTCTGTGAAACATCCGGTGCCGTGTTGATATATGATCCTACTGACAAAACATACAGACAGCTGAAAGAGCCTACCGATGGTGACTGCTGTGGTTCAATTAAAGTCAGCCCCTGTGATGATGACCTGATCTACATCGCAAACAAAAACGATGCGTGAGTAAAACAGACGTTATACGTTTTGAATATATACACACTGAACTTTCTTTCTTTAAAACAAGAACAAATACAAAATTGGCATCTTTATTATTCATAAGATTTGCTTTTGTTGGTAATTCATATGTAAGTGTTGAACCAATGTCAGTCTTGTGGGGAATTTTATGTCTGTGCCCCTTGTGCCGACCCCTTCTCATATCAGGTTGCTTGATGGCCAGGTAAGAGTGAGGTGTAAGGTGAGAGTTTGCGTCTTTCATAAAATAAGTATAAACTAAGTGAAGGTGCGTTCTTAGTGAGTTTATTGTAATAGAACTGAATTGTGTTTACAGTCTGAACATGTGGCCTTGCATCGACATGTTATACTTGAGGGACCACCACGTGATATACTTGTAGTTAAAGGGGAAGGGATCACCACATGATATTCATGTTGTTAAAGGGGAAGGGACCACCACGTGATATACCTGTAGTTAAATGGGATGAGGGGCCAACACATGATATACTTGTAGTTAAAGGGAAAGGGATCACGACATGATATACTTGTAGTTAAAGGGGAAGGGACCACCACATGATATACTTGTAGTTAAAGGGGATGAGGGACCACCACATGATATACTTGTAGTGAAAGGGTGTAAGGGACCAACACATGATCTACTTGTAGTTAAAGGGAAAGGGATCACCACGTGATATACCTGTAGTTAAATGGAATGAGGGGTCAACACATGATATACTTGTAGTTAAAGGGGAAGGGATCACCACATGATATACTTGTAGTAAAAGGGGAAGGGATGACCACATGATATACTTGTAGTTAAAGGGGATGAGGGACCACCACATCATATTCTTGTAGTTAAAGGGGATGGGATCACCACATGGTGTACTTGTAGTTAAAGGGGAAGGGATCACCACATGATATACTTGTAGTTAAGGGGGATGAGGGATCAACACATGATATACTTGTAGTTAAAGAAGGTGAGGGACCACCACATGATATACTTGTAGTTAAAGAAGGTGAGGGACTTCCACATGATGTACTTGTAGTTAAAGGGGATGAGGGATCAACACATGATATACTTGTAGTTAAAGAAGGTGAGGGACCACCACATGATATACTTGTAGTTAAAGAAGGTGAGGGACTTCCACATGATATACTTGTAGTTAAAGGGGCTGAGGGGCCAACACATGATATACTTGTAGTTAAAGGAGGTGAGGGGCCAACACATGATATACTTGTAGTTAAAGGGGCTGAGGGATCAACACATGATATACTTGTAGTTAAAGGAGGTGAGGGGCCAACACATGATATACTTGTAGTTAAAGGGGGTGAGGGACCACCACATCATATACTTGTAGTTAAAGGGGGTGAGGGATCACCACATCATATACTTGTAGTTAAAGGGGATGAGGGGCCGCCACTTGATATACTTGTAGTTAAAGGGGAAGGGATCACCACATGATATACATGTAGTTAAAATGGAAGGGATCACCACATGATCTACTTGTAGTTAAAGGGGAAAGGATCACCACATGATCTACTTGTAGTTAAAGGGGATGAGGGACCACCACATCATATTCTTGTAGTTAAAGGGGATGGGATCACCACATGGTGTACTTGTAGTTAAAGGGGAAGGGATCACCACATGATATACTTGTAGTTAAGGGGGATGAGGGATCAACACATGATATACTTGTAGTTAAAGAAGGTGAGGGACCACCACATGATATACTTGTAGTTAAAGAAGGTGAGGGACTTCCGAATGATGTACTTGTAGTTAAAGGGGATGAGGGATCAACACATGATATACTTGTAGTTAAATAAGGTGAGGGACCACCACATGATATACTTGTAGTTAAAGAAGGTGAGGGACCACCACATCATATACTTGTAGTTAAAGAGGACGAGGGGCCGCCACTTGATATGCTTGTAGTTGAAGGGATGGGACCACCACATAATATACTTGTAGATAATGGGGATGAGGGGCCGCCACTTGATATACTTGTAGTTAAAGGGGAAGGGATCACCACATGATATACTTGTAGTTAAAAGGGAAGGGATCACCACATGATCTACTTGTAGTTAAAGGGGATGAGAGACCACCACATCATATACTTGAAGTTAAAGGGGATGAGGGGCCGCCACATGATATACTTGTAGTTAAAGGGGATGAGGGGCCGCCACTTGATATACTTGTAGTTAAAGGGGAAGGGATCACCACATGATATACATGTAGTTAAAAGGGAAGGGACCATCACATGATATACTTGTAGTTAAAGGGGGTGAGTGGCCGCCACTTGATATACTTGTAGTTCAAGGGGATGAGGGATCACCACATGATATACTTGTAGGTAAAGGGGAAGGGATCACCACATGATAAACTTGTAGTTAAAGGGGATGAGGGGCCGCCACTTGATATACTTGTAGATAAAGGGGAAGGGATCACCACAGGATATACTTCTAGTTAAAGGGGGTGAGGGATCACCACATGATATACTTGTAGTTAAAGGGGGAAGGGACCACCACATGATATACTTGTTGTTAAAGGGGATGAGGGACCACCACATCATATACTTGTAGTTAAAGGGGATGAGGGGCCGCCACTTGATATACTGGTAGTTAAAGGGAAAGGGATCACTACATGATATAGTTGTAGTTAAAGGGGATGAGGGGCCGCCACTTGATATACTTGTAGTTAAAGGGAAAGGGATCACAACATCATATACTTGTAGTTAAAGGGGGATGGGACCACCACATGATATTCTTGTAATTAAAGGGGAAGGGACCACCACGTGATATACCTGTAGTTAAATGGGTTAGTGACCATCACATGATATACTTGTAGTTAAAGGCAGTGAGGGACCACCACGTGATATACTTGTAGTTAAAGGGGGAAGGGACCACCACATGATGTACTTGTAGTTAAAGTGGGTGAGGGACCACCACATGATATACTTGTAGTTAAAGGAGGTGAGGGACTTCCACATGATATACTTGTAGTTAAAGTGGGTGAGGGACCACCACATGATATACTTGTAGTTAAAGGAGGTGAGGGACTTCCACATGATATACTTGTAGTTAAAGAAGGTGAGGGACCACCACATGATATACTTGTAGTTAAACTGGGTGAGGGACCACCACGTGATATACTTGTAGTTAAAGTGGGTGAGGGACCACCACATGATATACTTGTAGTTAAAGTGGGTGAGAGACCTCTACATGCTCTACTTAGCTTCTGTAGATACTCAGAAGGAATCTCATCATGTCAGTATAAGTAGATTTTAGATTAGGCATGAGAGAGAAGCCGCGAAAAAGGCATCTCTTGGTCGGACTTATTTAAGTTATCAGGGTGCATGAATTCAGTTTGTTTGTTGAATGGTTTTGTTTGTTTGTTGTGTCACGCCGCACTAAGCCATATTCCAGCTGTATGACGTTGGTCTGTAAATTATCAAGTCTGGACCAGACAATTCAGTGATTTACATCATAAGCATTGATCTACGCAATTGGGATAAGATGGCATGCATCAACCAAGTCAAGTCGCCTCTTACGACAAGCATAGTTATGTAGCATATTTTCCATTAATTTATAAACCAGTTTCATTTGTACAGTCGATGTGTTGCCCTGCTCTCACCGGTTTCTTCAATGAAGGTGACTAAATGGAGGTTTCTTCTTTCAGGGATATCGAGATCTACAATGCTACATCACTTGAATTCGTTAGTTCATTGACATACACCACGTCGACTCCCTCTGCATGCCCGTCTATTGCTTGTGATCCAACATTGTGGTATGAATTTTTACAATGTATTAGTTACTGTTACACATCCAGCAAGAACAACGACCAAGTAATTAACCAGTAATAGAACACAGATCAATAGACTTTATACTGTTTCTTGTTACTTATATTGCTCTTCAAAACAGCTTGAAGATTTGATTTGATATGATTGAGTTGTGACTGAAAATAGTTCAATCCTAATATTCTTCTAATATATCCACTAAAGAATTTTCGAATAAGGGTTATCAATCAAAACAGAATAATTCATTTTATTCACCAAGATGTGTCAGATATGTTTAGAGGAGATAACGTTTAGATACCGCCTCATCCGTTAAATGTTAAATTGTAATTCTGATGTATATTGTCATGTTGCAGCTGTGCATAAACGGGATTCCATGACGGTAAGTTATTGCTTGTTGATTCTTGTAGAAACCCTTCAGCCATGGCAGTTATTCCCTTCAGAGTAAATGCATTTTGTTGTGTTCACTCTGGGAGATGGAGAAGCTGTTTTTCATGATTTTATGAAAGTGGCATATTAATAGTATAGTAATTGTGCGTGAGTGATCATTTGCACTAAGTAGTGCAAGATTCAGGCGATATTTGATCATCAAGATATTGTCAAAAATATATCTTATTTAGAATCTTTTGATCTACAAACAGCTCAAAATCTAAAAGATACCTACCATATGTACCAAGTATACTTTAAAAAGACATTATTTTCAAGTGAGAATTATATTAATATATACTTCTGTGGTCTAGTGGTAGAGCGCCAAAAGACGTTAAAAGATGGTACTTGTTGTTACCCTTTCTTGCGCTCGACATTAAAGGGCTACGACAAGGACTGGTCGGCTCAGGGTCAGTATACTGTGTGTCTGAGTGGGGTATTCATGTTACATTGCGGTATGGTATCTCAGTGAGCTATCACTATAAATCAGCATCAGTCAGGACTACTACAAGCAGCCACTCACACACACACACACACACACACACACACACACACGCACGCACGCACGCACGCACGCACGCACGCACGCACGCGCGCGCGTGCATGCCTGTCGCTGTAAAAGTGCAATAACCTTGGACGCGACGTTTAACCCCATTTCACTTCACCCCCCAACAGAAATGACAGCAGGTGCTCTCGTAAACAAATGACAACTTTTGTCAAAACATTGTTATTATTAAATATATGAAGAGAGGCAATCACATGCCAGTGTATGGAGTTTTGTGTTTGCGATCTCGTGTGAGCCTGTGCCTGTATGTATATGTGTGCTCTGGTGAATCAAGTAATTCATTTGCTATAATGAATTTGCCTTATATTTTCAGGATGAGCTGATATCGGAAGCAACGTTATCTGAACGTTAAAGAATAAAAAAAGTGTTGTGACTTTGTTTTGTGAATAAACCTTGTTACACTTATAACATGTTTGTTTCTTTTTGCCAGTAGCGAGTACAGCATCTATATGGATGCCTCTACAGAGTATATCATAGTTATATATATATGATTTTTTATATGTGTTCCTACCTACCCCTCCACCCCAGGATCTCTGGCCATGACCGGCTGTTTCCCCAGACCTCTCTCCCACAGATCATACCTGGGATGAGATGGGTGGACGCCTACAACAGGACCAGAACTAGCCGTGAACGCCAGATCAGTCGGCCAAATGTGCCGCTACTGCCTCGTCTTTATCATCGTACATGGTGATCACGCCTGATATTGACATTCCTAGTTGAGTTGTTACACCACCCTCCTTGTCGCGCGTGTCGCTCTGTCTCCTGTGACCATGTATTGGTTACTAGGGTCAAGTTTGAGCAGCAATATGCTGGTTACACCACCCTCCTTGTCGGGCGTGTCGCTCTGACTCCTGTGACCATGCATTATTTACATGTCCGTGTAATTTCACAGACCTATGTAAAATTGCATATCCCTGTAACACGGGCACCCATGTTGTCCACACGAAATGGTCTCCATGTGGACATACGCAAAGGAAAAAATGTATTCACATGCCAACCCAGAATTATAATTTGATTAATTGTATTGCACCTACCATCTTCGAGAACCACGAACTCCAGAGGAGTCAGTGAATACTTCAAGACTTGCTCCCAGTCGCCTGTGCTGCCGAGCGGTCTTCTGATGATCTTCTGGTCGTCACTCATGTACACGTAGCTGCAGCACTATTGTATCAGATATTGTTCAGTTGTTAACATGACCCATTCTCTACCACTCGCATTACTTAAGGGTGTTAAATATTAAATACGCAATAAGAACACAGAGCCATAAACTATTCTCACAACATAAATGTAAATGTAAAAAAACCTGTCAGCTCTTCCTCACGTCATCGATCCGATTTGCGTGGATCGATGCTCATGATGTCAATCACTGGATTGTCTGGTCCAGACTCGATTAATTACAGACCGCCGTCATAAAGCTGGAATATTGCTGAGTGCGGTGTTAAACAACAAACAAACAAACCTCCGATCTGTCTTCTTTTAATGACCTGTGCAATGTGATATCATGATCGTGGCGACAATGCCTGTCGTTAATGGCGATTAACGGGATCTAGCGGTCAGACTCTCTGACGTGGTTGATGCATATCATCGTATCTCAATTGCGTGGATCGCTGCTCATGATGTCAATCACTGGATTGCCCGGTCCAGACTCGATTACTTACAGACCGCCTTCTTACAGCTGGAATATTACAAATATAAATGTTGCCAGTATCGCCATCATATGAGAAGACAAGTGTGGTGGCGATGCCTGCTCTGTTTAAGGAATAGATACCATTCTGACGAAAAGTCTGGGTAAGGGCTAGATAAAGGAAGCCTCCGTTGGCAGGATTGAAGGCAACGCCAGTAATGCTTTGTGCTGTCCCTGACAACAAATCAATGACAAATTAAGACTTGGGCTGATAAAGAATAAAAGTTTCAATAAAGGTATCAAACAATGGACCGTTTGCTTGTATAGAAGGGGGCACGGGTGGCCCAGTCATCTAAGTCGCCGCGATTCGCTGTGCAGAGTTGCGTCCCTTGGGCACTAGAAACCTATGATTGTGGGTTCGAATCCGGTACGCACCTATAAACATCTGAGACCTGCACCTCTTCGGGCTTTCCTCCCAAATTAAGCTGACACACCGTGATATAACTGGAATACTGTTAAAAGTGGCATTAAATCCTACTCACCCACCCACTCACTCACTTACTTGTATAGATCACATGTAAAAGTGTAATAGGGTAGTTATAAGAATATGGCAGGATCAAAGCAGTGTCTTTCCAATTACTTTCAGAAACAGAAGTGTATAATGTAATACGATATTACAGTTATTTAATCTCCTAAAGGGGTAGTTGTATACAACTTGTTGTATGCAATTAGTTGCACGAACTGAAATTGTATACAAGTCGGCTTTCACACTGCGGCGAGTTGCATACAACACGGGTCTCGCGAGATATCTGACAAAAAGCTTGTGATTAATTAAATTATTGCTGGAATCCTGGTTGCCGAGTTAATGTTCAGACGCATATAGTTTCGAAAAATCAACGCTGCCCGAGAATTGCGGTCGCGCTGGACCAAAGTCTGACAACGGACTTGTATATTATTGAATTTTTACCCCCATGATGGACAATTAAAGACTGGTTTTAAAAGCAAAAAGTGTTAAATGTTGTCCAAGTTTCTGTTTTGCTAACGAAAAAGCCTCTAAAATATGTAGCCTTATTAGATCGTACATAGAAAAAGTACAGTTTATTTGACAGCTTTATGTAAACTGTGAATGAACAAAATACTGTCATATATCCGAACAACATCATGACAGATATATTACAATTGTCCGATTTTGTAAAACGTGACACATTCGTCATGAAAACGTACTTGTTTTATGTTGTGAAAACAAATTTTACGCTATGACGTCAAAACATGACAAAAAGGGGCATAACTCCGCAATTCTTTACCTAAGTCGTCATCTCCGTGGTGAGCATCTGCTGTATCACAGGACAATACATTCTCGTATGTTTTTGTTTATGTGTATCTACAAAGTTCCCACAAAGTCATCAATTCTAAAATCACATCGGTTCCTTTTCTGGGACATTGAATGATTGTCATCCCAAACTCTCCACTCGCAACATAAGTGATTTTGAACAAGGGATGCTTTGCATGTCCAAACAGGGGTACTTTCTCAACATACAAATTGATAAGTTATTTTGAACAAAAATACATAATGCTCACAAACGTACCAGGCGCTGTTATTAAGGTTGTATCCATTCCGGATGGCATGGCTTTACATACGACTCTAATCAAAACCAGCGTTTTCGTAGTAAGATGATGCATAGTCGGACATCGCGTCGGGGGGGCCAGGCAATGTCCATCCATCGACATTTTCAGTTGTAGTGATGCAATTTTGGATGAAGCCATTGGGATCCACGACGACAACATCAGTTCCATCACACGACGCCACAAACACCGCACCGGTACCTTCAAGTACAGCAGCAACTTAAAGTCAACAAGACATGGTTTTGTTTGCGCTGGCATACCATTTTGAAACTTGATTTAAGTAACGACTGTAAGACCATAACCGGGTGAGCCACATTATCTCATGAGTTGGTATTTATTTGCTGATATGTCTACATGCATCTTGACTATGTTACACAGATTCCGGGTATGTGGTATCTTTTCTAGTCATGTAAGGCAATCAGCTCACGCACCACGCACAACGTCCAGAAAGGATAGACCAAAACACTACAAGTTAAAGATTACATATTTCTATGTACTTTCTGATGTCAGGGTTGTTACGTCATGAACATGAACTATCCAAATTTAAAACACGTGTCCTCCTTTTACTTATAGCTGCACAAGTTCTCTGCACTAGAACCTTCGCTGTGTAAAACTGCCTCTTTGTAATAACAATAATCAGTTATTGTTGACTTAGTTTAGATGAATAATAACACATTTCTCAAGTAGCGTTTAATGGCCTGATTGAAACCCGCTGAATCTGCCACCTTATCTTAGATGTCTGTAGAGCAAGGTTCAAGCCACATCAGCAGTAGGTCAGTGAATTTATCGTTTCTGGATATATAATGATATTGCAATAAAGAAAATACTTGTTGGTGATTGTAAAAGACCTACGATCCGGAGAGTCTTGTGGAGCGTCGGCCTTGACAGTCTGTACTGCATCGGAGAAGCTTTGGAGAGCAGTCAAGAAGGTGTTGACTCTTGTTTTGTAACACTCAGGGGGTTCACCTGCAAGACGATATATTATTCGGAAATGATACTGGATTCTCTGAAATACTCATTTTACAGTCGCTTCACTGTGTGCGATAGCATGTGAAATGTATTTCGTTGACAAAAACCTGATAATATTTCAGCTCAGAACAGTTGTATTGCACGTGTTGCCGGAATATTGATTGAACACACTTGTAACCACCATGCTGCTATTGTAAGCTGCACAATCAAAATAGCCAAATAGATAAATAAACTCGGCCAATAAAAACTATATATTCTAGTTCTACTGGAGAATATTTGTGAACTCCTCTTTCAGTGAAGATATAAGATTAAGGACATTATCTTATCGCTTTTAATATATATCAGAAATATCAGAAAGAATTTTGCATTAATTTTTTTTTTTCATAATGTATTAGTTGTTGACAATGTCTTTGCTTAATTCAACAGTCACCCGAACAATTAATTTCTTAATTCGGGTAGAATTACTTAATTTCTGCACAAATTAGTTTTTTTTTTATAAAATAGTGAACAAAGGCCACTGATTAACCTCCTGAATATATGCGCTATATCGAAAATGCTTCAGTAAAAGACCAATGTCGTTGATACATGATAACTGTTTTGTGAGATTCCGATCATATCATTACCATACGTTATTGTGACTTTCCATTCTGTCGCCTGTTACGACAAACATGCATAATTGTTGTTAGTGACTATTCCAACCTTGATTCACCACTAGGATACTAGAATTAAGAGTTCCCTTTCTGTAGATTACACAAGTTTATAGTAAAAGAACTTCACCTATATTCCTTTACTTCACAGTGTTGCAGAATCGTCAATGATAAAACACAGTTCTAATTATTGGGTGGTCATCAGGTCGAGTGAAAACAACCCCACACAGCACTTACATTTGCCCGCCATTCAGGCCCACGATCACAGCATCATGTAGACAACACATGTATAAAAGACTTTTAGTAGGTTTGACCTTTGAATCGTCTTGAGAAAATCCGTTTTTCAAAATTTCCAGAATAGACTGCACCCAATGGTAAGGGTTGTGTATGTATGCTCACCGTGAGATAAGACGTCATTGCTAGACGTCTCTATAGTATCCAAAGCAACAATTCATATGTTACAGGAGAGACTACATGCAACAGAATCGAAAAGTGGTGGGCCAAGCAACCTCCATACTACAGCCTTCGTTTCCAACCATGCATTT